ATTAGATCTGTGCATGTAAAGGAGCAGGGCATTGTCTCGGAAAAGGTTAGATATACTGGAACTCACATTTGTTCCTTGTCTTACTGATGAGGTTTGAAATGTTCCCCTTTCGGTGTCTCACCCGAAATATAATTTTTATTATGTCATTTTCATTTACAAAGATGCGTTGTAGTGTCTTAAGTCGTCGTCATCAGTCTCATGTCTGTATGGGGTCGGAGAGTCACAACGCAGCAAGTGATCTAAACCGGGTATAATTTAGCCTAGTTCAGAATTTTCTTTTCTATATTTTAATCGAATTCACCCCATGCAAGACAGTAAAGCCATTTAGACACAAGAAGTTACAGGATGTGGAAGAATTGGGTACAGAAACATTAATAATGAGCGGGAAGAGAAAAGAATAATCAGGAGGACAATAGATAGTGCTTGAAAATGCATTTAAATTTCTGCAGATTAAAGTTGGCTAGAAAGTCGGAAGAGAGTTCCAAAAGTGAGAAGTGCGAGAAAAGAAGCTGTTAGCATAGAACTTACGGCTACATCTATCTTGACGTCAGTCTAGAACTGCGCTTAAATTCCAAAAGTCTCCGAACCCGAAAAGTTACCATGAAAGTATTTATAGAAAAGACACAGAGTGGCAACCTTTCAGAGAGTGACTGATCAGGACTAATAATATTGCTGATTCTTCTTTGGATTTTATCAAGGAGCTCAAGGTAAATAGCAGGGGCACCGGACCATATATGGCAGCAATATTCTAAGCATCGACAAATAGTAGACTTATAGATATGCAAGATTCTGGAGAGAAAAAATATCTATCATGACACAGTGAACCAACTTTCTTAGCAGCTGACCTAGCAATGGATTCAATATAATCATTCCACTTTATGTCAGTTGAGAACGTTCGCCCGAGAATGCGCAACGAGTCACTCTCCTGGAGGATAGCATCAGCCATGCTGATGGAAGGCAGAGAGGAGTCTTTCAGATGATTAATGAAAGGAAGGTTAGTTTTGGAGGTGCTAAAATTAACAAGCCATCTTTTTCCTCAGTTAACGACGGAATTTAGGTCAGTGTGGACATCGGCTGCGATTTTGACCTTGTCGGACTGGTCAGTAAATGATTGTGTCATCAGCGTAAATAACAAGCTGGTGTCATCGGGAAGGTCATTAATGAAAGTTAAAAAACAATGTAGGACCAAGGATGGAGCCCTGGGCGGGGTGCATCCGCATTAGTACGAAATGATCTAGACGAGTGGCCATTCAAGATAACTTTCATTACACGGTTTGATAGGAAAGACTGGATCAGTTCAAAAATGACTCCGGAGACACCGTAACTTTTCAGATTATAGATAAGATCTGTATGCCAAACCCTGTCAAAAGCTTTCAAGATTCCCATTGAGACACCCCGGCTTCACCGTTTTTATCTAGAGCATGATAGACTTTTTTTCCGCGATTATCGTTAGGGCATCAGCAGTTGACCTGGAGAAACCAAAGCCATATTGCTTGTCTGAAAAAAGGCCCTGCAATGAGAGAAGATGAACCAATTCGGCATTGATTAGAGCCTCTAAGAGTTTCACAAAAAGAGGTCGAAAATTAATATGCCGAGATTTGGAAGGTTCCTACTGTTCATTAGAATTCTTAAAAACCGGAACAACAGATGATGACTTCCAGCAGACAGTAAAGCGGTAGCAGTGATCTATTTAGTATACAACTTATAGAGAACAGGGGTCAATTCGGGAGCACACTTCTTAATGTCTATTACGGGGATACCATCTTGGTTCACATGTTTTGTGGGGATTCGAGATGATAGCAGAAATCATAGAAGGGGTTATTAGCATATCACTCAACACAGACTCAGTTCTTAAGTAGGAAGTTAGGCAGGGTTACTCTAGGGTTAATGAGTCTAGAGTAGAGTTTAAGTAGTATTTACTAGCAAAGCAATCAGCTTTCTCAGCAGTGGATGTTAACACCTCAATTTGATTGAAGAGGGGAGGAATAGAAACATTAGACTTATTTAATAACCTATTACCCAGCCGCCTGTAATCACGACAGCCAAAGCTGTTAGATGTTACGTGGTGTATCATTCTCTCGGAAAACAGAGACCTAGCTCCTTCGAGGACTCGCTTATATTACTTAGGAGCAGTAACGATTTGGCTCCTGTTGCGACGAGAGATGTCACGCTGGTATAGCTGAAAATAGTTGTCCCTGTGCGCTATAGCGGCTAAGCATGCGGATGAGAACCACGGAAAGGATTGATGTTTCAATTGGTATTTCGGAGAAGGGATGAAAGCGTCCATGTTTTTTTAGATCCAAGAAAAAAAAACATCAGTGTTTCAGTTCACAATTAAGAGGTTAAGGATGTCAGTCCAAGGAGCGTCACAAAGAAAATCACGGAGTGGCTCTCAATAAGCATTCTGATAACAGAAAGACGTCTTATGAAGAGGGGATTCCTGTTTAATAGATTATTGGAATGAAATGCCAATAGATACCACAGAGTTACAAAAGAGGGAAGAATTGCAAAGCTCGGTAAGATCCAGGAGACGAGATAAGAACTAAATCAAGTAGAGAAGCCTGTTACTCAGTTTTGCTAGGAAAACTAGTAGGGAAATCCACGATTTGAGTAAGGGATTGCAAAATTGGATAATTTAATGTCCGAATACCTGCAGCATCAATACTTCACCGAAGACAAAGATGTTTGTAGATGGATGGAGAGAAAGTGCTTTTTCTATACTGTCAGTTATTATGTCTAATATGCTACAGTCCTGAGAAGAGGACGTTCATAAAGTAAGAAGAAATACCTAACAGAATTTCGAAAGACGGAAGCACATGAAAGAGTTGTCTGGGGCTTTGAGATCGGAAGATTTTCACGGATGTAATGACTAAAGCTGAGGGATACTGAGAGAGAGAGAGAGAGAGAGAGAGAGAGAGAGAGAGAGAGAGAGAGTCATATCATCTGTACGTTTGTGATCCCAACTCTCCACAGCTTCCTGTATTTGTCGCCTTACTCTCCTATTATATCCATCGCTTGTAGGTTGTGTAGGCCTGTCGTGAAGCTTAAAGCACTTGGTGTCCATCACCGGTCACCATTCTGAGCATTGACCAAGATAGATGCTGCTTAACTTCAGTGATTAATAGATTAATTGTTGATATAATTGTTGATACGAAAAATGTAGAAAGAAGTAAGGTAACTTTATCCCAACCAAATTACATAGATTCTTTTCCTGTATCACGTGTCCCTTCAGGATGTTGGCGATCATAGCTCTCCACATGTCCCTGACCTTTGTATCTCTTAATAAATATTGTATTTTTGTTATCTTTCCTAAGCCCTGTTCCGCCATTCATTTACTTTAATCGGTCCCGCTTTCTTTCAAAGTTTCCTGTGAGTATCAAAATTTCCAATCCTTCTTTCCTCATTATGTGCTCTAGAAATTTTAGGTATCAGTTCTATGTAGAACTGTATAAGAATATAAATAAGATTACATTTTTAGCTGTATAAGTTTCATGCATGCCCATTGCAGGAGACTGTCTAAAATGAAATTCGGAAATTGCCAATGGACTAAATTAGAACATCATATATCGGGCTTACTTTTTGTTTGAATATTGGGTTTATATCATAACTTTTTGTTTGAGGTATTGGGTTTACATCCTAACTTTTTGTTTGAAGTATTGGCTTTCCATCCTAACTTTTTGTTTGAAGTATTGTGTTTCCATCCTAACTTTTTGTTTGAAGTATTGGGTTTCCATCCTAACTTTTTGTTTGAAACATTTGGTTTCCATCCTAACTTTTTGTTTGAAGTAGTGGGGCATATTTTAATTTCATTTTCCGGTTTACAAGTCGCACTGTGTTTTCTAGCAGCGGCGGGAGCCTTTCTGCTGTTGATTAGCATGTCAAAATTGGACGAGTGATTAATGTAAACAATGCCTGGTACCAGTATGTGAGGGACGCATGGTGAATGTGTTGTCGTATGAGAATGAGTTTGTTCGTAGAAATTTCTTTCCAATTTAAGGGTGCGTCTTCGAATCCGCAGCGTCTTGTATGCCGGAAAATGTGGTATATCATTATTTTCTTTTCGCGTCATCGGTGATATTCATTTTAATAGTTTAATAGATACCGTTGTTTTATTTTGTACAGCTCTTTGTTTGTGATTCTGTAGCGCCAGTCCACGAGGTTTTGAAGCCGTATAGTAACTACCTCTAGCTCAACTATAAATAACAACAACTAGAAGAGGGTTAAAATAATTGGAAATGATCTCTCCTCCTCGGTAAGGAAAGACATGAGCCACAAGTGTCACCGGACCATCATCCAGCGTCCGTTCCCATCAAGCAAAAAATACTTTTGTGGTCAGAACAAAAAGCAACCAATAGATCAATATTTTAGGCGTTTTCAAGACTAAGTGAACAAAAAATGGAGATTTCCTCATTGAGAAACAGACGGTCATATATGCAAACGGTGAGAAAACTGAGAATGGAGTAGTACTTAGATAAAGACAAGAGGAAATGTCTGACTGTATTTCTTAGATGAGGTATTGCAATTATTTACATTATTTACATTGTTCGGACTATTGTCCTCATCTTTATTGCCATATCACGTTTTGGTTGGATCCAGGGACTTGACTCCAAGAGTTGTGAGTTCAATAACTGGCTACTGCAGTGGTGAACAAAAACTTATAGAGTTGACTTAAAGGGAGATAACCGAGACATCCGGAAGAGGCATGGCACGTGGAACTAGAAAAATCTACCTCGGCGGACGAAATAAAAATTCAGTTCGAAATTCCAATCACCTAAAGAAGGCCGGAGCGTACAACGGCCGAAACGTCGTGGGTATGGCAATGAAGATAAGGACAGTTGTTCGAACAATGTAAATTATGTAAATGAGAGGAAATCTTCTGGGATACTATGAACTGTCAGACATTTTGCAGTTAAGCTGAAAGAGGAGCCTTTTAACAAATCCATAGTTTATGTATATGCGCAAACTTGTGTCTATTAAAAGTAATCCATATACCGTAGGCCAACGGCCATATCACGTTGAAACATTGGTTTTCGTTCGATCACCGAAGTTAAGCAGCGTCGAGTCTGGTCAGTACCTAGATGGGTAACTACTTGAGAATACCGGCTGCGGTTTGAGGTGTTTAATAAATAAGGACTCGAAATGAGAAGTCAGAAGCTGAGTTCGAATTCCGGGTGGATTCTTTACGTTTACTTACGCGCAAATACCGTTGGAAAGGATATGACCCCACGTCTTCCCCTCCAGTTATGGGTTAAATAGTAAGGTTTGTATTTGACAGCCATTATTATGTTTTTAAAATATTGCTAATGTAAAAATTACTGGTAAAAAAAGAATTATTCTTACAATCTAAATATATGTTTCAGCATTTAAAATAATTTACAAAAAGCTGGTAACCCGTAAAAAATCAATTTTAGGAAAATCTATGACATCGTAGAATAAGATTTCGTGTGACACGTTTCGTAATTTAGAACTCCATCTGACTAATTTGAATTTTACTTTCCTGCGCATGCATGCGTTTTACTACACTTGCGCATAAAGCAGATGGTACGTTGAATTTTTTTTCCACTTTGTTATAGATTTTCCTAAAATTGTTCTGATATATAAAAATAGTTTTTTTTCCCCAAATCAATTTTAGGAAATCCATGATCCCTTACTTCATGGGTTATTATGGTATAAAAAAAAATTATATATTCCTTCTCTAGTTGTTCAGTATCACACAGGGAGCAAGTTTTACAGAATTTTTTGGTGCCAAGCAATGTGGACCTCTGAAGTGATAAAACACAAAATTTATTCCGATTTTAAGAAATTATGTTCGACGCTATTTAATCTTATACCCTGCTGATAACCGGATCAGCAATTGACTGATCGTCCATCCTTCTGGCAAAAACCAAAGTTTGCTGTATTTCTTGAGTGTTATTTATTTTGAACATAATATTATGGCAACCAGGAATAGTCAACAAAAAATATTTATCATTATCATTATTATTATTTCCTTTGATTTCTGTAGTATACACATTTCCTTCCGGGTCCCAACCAGAGACCTAATGTCAGGAATGGCATCATGGCATTTTCCACTGATCATTTTTGTAAAAAAAAAAAAAAAAAAAAAGGAAAGAAAAGATCAGTCACATTTTACATAGATAAAGCCCTTGCCTCATGCGCTGTGGGACAAAGAATGCTAATTGACCTACCCTTTTCAAATTTCCATTTTCTACTTTCTCTTGCTTACTTTCTAGTTTTCTTCACGTCCTCCCAGGATTTCTACTTCCCTTCTCCTCGATCGCAAAGTTTCTCTTGGCTTTTCTTATCATTCATTGACGATACAAAGAGAAAGGTATTTTAATGTTTTGTCATTCAACTGATTACCTTTCTATTAGTATGAACCCATTTATTTTCACACTTCACATCTATGTGCGTATAAATTTACTAAGTGGCAATTTGTGCACAACCCCGTAACTTAATTCCAGTATGTCGTATTTTAATTTACACAGGCATTTGGGTTTAGCGCCGAAGCGAACAATGGAACAGCTGAATTTCCATTTTAATATTCATCTTTTTTTATTAGAGTAATGAAAACGTAACCAAAAAGAACTCTTAAAAATAATATCTCTAAATAGAATATGACTAATTTTTAGGAAGCTTGATTAACAAACACAATATCAACGTCGGTGGTATCCTAAAGCCTCCAGCCTTTATTATAATCTAACCTCCGATTTCACAAGAACTTTGTGACTTTAGCCATTAACCTTTCACTATATTTTTTAAATACCATATCCCTTCAGAACGTAGGAGATCATAGCTTTGCAGAGATACTGTTTTCTTTTAATATCTGTCAGTTGCCATTAATTTTTGGGAAAGATAATGCAAGAGTTTACCATTTCATTTTCAACGTTTTTTTTAAATTTAGAGTAGTCCTCTTAATCTGGGTGCCATCCAAGGCTAGATAGACTTGCTATTTAACCCATTAACGTTGAAGTGAAGAGATGGGTTCATGCCTTCATAAGAACATTCGCGCAAAAGTGAACACATCAGACAAGGTCGAAATCTTCTATAAATATATATATTTTAATAACAAACATGGAAACAGCACATTTACTTCCAAATTCTAAAAACAAAACAAAACACAGATACTTTTTACTTGATATCTCTGGTAACCAAAGCGAGTAAATCGCCATATTTGACAAAGATTAAAACTATTGGTTTGCCTACTGTTATCAAGAGGGTGTGGATATATTAGGGCTAATTCTCAAACGCATGAGGCGGTGTGAGATCTGATGCATATTTTACCAAATATTGAGCAGCAGAACTGTAAGAAAATAGAAGGTTACGAAAATATATATTGGCTGTTTTGCATTCAACCGTCTCCATGTTTTTGTCAGATGAGAGCTACAACAAAGGGAGATAAACAAGAATAGAAAACGCCTACAGTTTGAACACTGCGCAAAAGGTGATAGAAATAGTCAAATTGCTTACAATAGTCCAAATACAATAGTCAAAAGAAATACTTTCAATATAAGTATTAGTCATATATAGTCACACGCAGGGGTACCTCGAGGCGGTTTAATGGTTTGCAAGATTGTCTCGCCAGAACAATTACTACTGAATAGTTAGTTCGATTCTCACTGGATGCCCCATACTTTCGGCCTTGTGCCAAATCTAAGCTACGCTTGGAAAATCACTACATATTCGCACACAGATAAAGAAAAGATATATAATCGTGAAAAAAGGAAAGAGATATAATTCTATTAAATGAACGCAGATGATATTGGTAAAAATAGCCGTTTCCATACAGGAAACATTCAGCATTCATTAATGTTATTGTTGGTTGAAAGATCCTTTCTATTACAACAGATTTTCTATGGTACCAATACTTTATGAATTTAAGCGCAGTACGAAGATTAGCGACAAGGGATCATCATTTTACAGTTAACATGGCTAGATGTAAGTTCTATGTTAACCGTTTCTTTTCTCGCACTTCTCACTTGTGGAACTCTCTCCAGGCTTTTTGCTTTACAGTCAACAAAATGTTTAAATAGTGTTTTTCTTCATATTCTCCGATACTCATTAACCCTTCGCGTCTTAGTGGCTTTATTGCCTTGGATGAGGTGAAATTGCATGAGGTGAAATGATTAAAAAACAAACAAACAAAAAACAGCGATCTTAAATCCATTTATCTCTCTTTCTCGTACTTTCGTTTAAAGCAGTGTGAAAAGTCAAAATCTTGATTATATTTTTATTTACACTCCTTATTTAGATATGCTACCCATTTTAGTTACTGCATGCTCTTAAGTGATATGATTTTGTTATTTGGTAGAGCGTTTTATTATTATGCAACGCCAGTCTATAAGATCTTCTTCAAGATTTAGAAAATTCATTCTTCTGACGCCATTTTAAATCATTATGTAAATAGCTGATAGTTTAGAAATTTCTGAGCGAGGTGGATGCCATACATGACATTCATACGAGAGTTTAAATCTGACGAGGCTGTTTAAGAACATGTTTCGGGTTTTTGCTTTTATATTTTTTGGCTTTGTGCGGGCTGTTTTCATTTTCCTCTTCACCGGTGCCAAATTTGTTAACCTATCCATTCATCATCCGGAAAACTCAAATACAAGTCGAAATAAAGATGTTCGAATTTACGCTGTTTAACTGCCAAAGATATATGAATCTTTCTCTTTAAACATTTTCTTCATCGAGTCTATTAACTGTTATCACTATTTCTAGTTGCAATGGGAGTTTCCTTCCTAAACTTTTTCTTTAGAGTAGTGTGGAGAGTCAATATCTTGTTTTCATCTTCGTTGCCATATTCACCACATTTCGGTCGTTGTATGCTCCGGACTTCATCAGGTTATATACGTTGGTTCTTCGAACCGAACCCTTTATTTCGTTTACCGGTGTAGATTGTTCTAGTTCCGTGTGCCATGTCTTTTCTGGAAATTTCCCTTTAGTATCTCTCTAAGTTTTTGTCTTATTGTGGCCAGGAATTGAACATACAACTCTTTGGTGTCAAGTCATTTCAAACAACGCTTTTATCCACTGAGCTTATGTGTCCTTGGGGACGATAAGAAAAAAATATTTGGTCGTATCAAAAGAACCTTATAAATGCGTAGATATAAAAGCCTTATTGAAATCAATGAGGAGCAAGACCCAGTTAGAATATTTCAGCAAGAGAGCGTATTTTTCGGAATATAATACGCACTGGTGTATAATAGGGACTCTTCTTTTGGAGATAAAGTTTTGAAAAAAAGAAAACAGTTACATTGGCATTTGAAAGATTTTTGTTGATCAAAAATTAAATTCGTATTAGAATAGATTGTTCCAAGCCCCCAAAAGATGAACAAATCAATCTATTACACTCTACCATTACAAGGGCCAGATCAAAGAGAAAATGGAGTACTCCTGCCATATATGGGTAGGAGCTATCCGGTCTTCCCTTTTCAATCTTGAGTTCAAAAACGCCTACGCGGCCTTGTGGCTGATGGAATATTTTCCACCTTAGAACCCCTTTCTCACAGATGAAACACCCGCTACTCTAACGTTATTTCCATGGAAAATGTTCTGATAAGCTATATTCTTTCGTTTCACCAATTCTAAACCTCACAGTCAAAACTCGTCATGACATGTACACTTAGGCGAACCATCATACTTCTCTTCATATTACATTAGTAAAGAGGAAGTTTTACTCTTAAAGCTTCTTCCCACGAATTGCTATTTTTGTGGAACTGGCACCCAAGAGGATGCTTTCTCGATCACTGATATTTTAATCTCTTCTTCTGGGTATTCTCTCTGCCAGTATTTCTTTTTGTTGCCCTTTCTCCTAAAACTTCCTCGTTGCTCACGAGTTCAGTTCATGTTATTCTCAGAATCCTTCTGTAGAAACATATTTCTACTGCCTCAAGTTTCTTCTTCATTTGTGATTTCTTCGTTTTTTAGTCGTATTTCGGACTAGTTTGGGTACCATTCCCTACCCTGTTTAAGGTTTAATTAAATAAACATTATCATGGGAGATACGGAAATTATTTATCCACACATCCAATCGAAACAAGTATGGCATAAGGCCTTATTAAAAGTGAGGGTTAGTAATAAAGATTATCCATTTATCGCGGCACT